TGGGAAGAAATTTTTCCTAATATCTAGCCTGAACCTCCCATGGAGCACTTTGACACCATTTCCTCAGAAATGTCCGTTTTTCAATGACCAGCACAGGCAGAGGTGATGGCAGCTGGTTCCTTGCTGATCCATTTCACCTGAGCCTTGAGTGTTGCAGCAGGAAGGTGCTCTGACCAGCACCCCAGCACCCCAGCATGGTGGGAGTTGGAAGGAACCTCTGAAGATAAGGGCCCTGCTGGGGCAGGATCTGGAAGTCTCTGTGAGACCACCCTGCCGAGAGATGTGTGAAGCCAGGATGGTCATCCCAGAGTGCAGGGACCTGCAGGAGCAGCTTTCCCTGAGCTCTTCCCAAGACCAGGTGCGTTAGCACAAGTGCTCTCAGCTGTCCCGTGCAGCCTGCAGAGATAAACATGTTCTTTCTCCATAGTTTTCAGGTGGAAATGTGTTCTGCCCATGTAGCAATGGGTAGGTTTGGGAGGGTTGTGCTGGAAGGGAACAGCACCTGGGCACTGGCCCTGGAAGATGTGGTGGTGGTTCTGGGCAGCAGCAGCAAGGCTGGTGTAGCTGCTGCCTGGTCACTGTGAGGGAGGAGCTGTGCAGGAGCCGTGCAGAGGGGCAGGAGGAAGAGGAGCTGCAAGTGCTGGAGAAAATAAAGTACCTGGCACTGTGTGTGCAGGAAGGCAGGTATTGAGCCTTCAGGTGCATTTCTGATTCCATCGCTTCCCCTCTGTCTCCCCAGCTGACAGGACAAGGGAATAAACTTGTTTGCTAACAGATTGTCCTTCCTAATGGGGTTCTCAAGGTTCCTGTGTAACTCCTGGATTTCAAGGCCAGAGGGTGCATCTCTCTGCTGCAGCCTGGCTTGTGAAGCCTGCAGAGACTTCTGTCCCTGATGGCAGGTCCAGGCCTGTGTTCTGTGCTTCAATCAAACCCTGTAGATTTTGCTGATCACTTAAATGTCAAAATCAGGGTTTGAAGTTGGGATTTGAAGCCATGTTCTAAAAGTGTGGCCCTCTGCTAGGAATATGTCCAAGCTCCCTGTTTTACTTGGTCTCGAGATTCTTGTAGGGCCAGACTTGCCTCAGGACACAGACCTGCAAGTGGGTAGACTCGTCTCAAGTTCCTCAGCCTAAGAAAACTATTGTTCTTACTGTTGTTTGACCAAACGATCATCTCTTCTAGTTCTAGGATCATCATCCAGACCTTGGATCAGCTGGATCCTGGTGTCCCCCCTGCAGCTGAAGCTCTGGCATTTCATCAGATTGTGCCTTTGCTCTTGGTCTGGGTTGTCCAGTGGCATCAAGCAGCTCAGGCTATTGCAGCTGTTGAGAATATTTCATATCTTTGTGCTAATCCTGCACTATCTGTGGAGCAGCTCTTGGGAAGGGAGAAAACTATTGCACAGGTCCTGTCTGGCTGGTGTCTGCCACAGCCAGCAAAAACACCCCTGGACAAGGGGCAGAGAGTTAAAACCAGAAAATACCACGTTGATTTCCTGTTAGAACATGGAGCAGCAAAACTGAGAATAACAGAAATACTGCACTTGGTCACGTTGTGCCTGGGGAGGGTTTCTGCTGGTGATGCTCATGTGCCATCCAGGTGGCTGCTCAGTAAGGTCTGCGTGATGTCCTGTTGGTTAATGCCACACACCACGTGCTTCACAGGATCACAGAATGTCAGGGGTTGGAAGGGCCCTCTGAAGATCGTTGAGTCCAACCCTTCTGCCAGAGCAGGACCAAAACTAGGGCAGGTCACTCAGAAAGGCATCCAGACAGGTCTGGAAAGGCTCCAGAGAAGGAGACACCACAACCTCTCGGGGCAGCCTGTCCCAGGGCTCTGTCACCCTCACAGGAAAGAAGTTCTTCCTCATGTTGAAGTGGAACTTCCTGTGGTGGAGTGTGAATTCATTGCCCCTTGTTTAAGGACACTGTGGGCCCTGTTCCCATCGTTGAGGGGTGTTGGATCAAGAGGAGGAGCTATGTGCACCTCCTGAGCCTTCGGATTGGGGGGTTTTGGGTTCTACAGATTGAGTATAGAGGTTCTTGCCAGGGTCACCAAGGGAAGGACCCACTCGTGAAGTGGTGGATTTCCATCCCCTCGTGTCAACTTGAAGGCTGCTTTTGTGAAAGATGCTCCAACAGATGTTCCAGGTGGGTGAGGGGGCAGTGCACAGGCTCATGTGGCAGGGTTACACATCTGGATGTCACAAATCCTTTGTCATTTCAGAGCAACTCAGTGGCAAAGCTCGTGGAGGAGTTCAAGGCTGCCCACATTGTGGCTGATCTGGCCAAAGTGGCTCTGCAAGCTCAGCATGTCCCCAGCAGCCAAGAGCATCTAAGAAGCTTTTCTTTCCCTGAGCATCCTGGGCACTTGGAGCAGCTCTGGAGAAGACAAGTGGCCACCCCCATCCCTGCTGGGTCTACATAGCTGCCCATCCTTGGGTGGCTGAGCTACCTGACAGGTCCTCTGCTGTCCTGGGTCTCCTCAGGGCTTGTTCTGTCCTTTCACAGCCTTGAGTGTCCCTGCTCTGCACTGCTGGGGGCAGCAGCCCCACAGCTCCTGCCTCTGTCCTCCCCTGCCTGGGGAAGAGCTCCTGCTGGGAGATGTGGGGACCTGTTCTCTGCCTCCTCCAGCTGGTAGAGAACTGCTTAGTGTCTGGCTTCGTGCTGGTGGGGCTGCAGTGTCCACCAGTGGGGATGGCACCTCCTGGGATCCCCCCAGGCCCTGCTGCCAGGAGGCCCTGCTGGGCTGGGGGCCTGAGGTTGTTAACCAGCATGAGTGCAGCATTCCCAGAAAAAGGAACTGGGGCTGGGGAGGAGGAGAGCTTGGAGGCCTCTGGTGCTGGGGAAAGACTCAAAGGGGCTTTCTAGGCAGGTGCTTCCCATCACATCAGGCATCAGGATACAAGTAGCAGAGAAGTTGCTGGACTGGGGCTGCTTCCAGCCTGAGGTAGAACCATGACTGTGGTGAACAAGCATCCAACAACCTGGATCCAGGTTGGAGGTGGAGAAAGGAGGAGAAGTATCTGCCCTTCATTTGCACAACATGAGTTAATGGCAAAAATAAAGGAAGCAAAACCCCCTGAGCTGCCTTGGGGGGTCCAGGGGTGACAGTGTGGGGCTCAGCTGGCTGCAGGGCAAGGCCAAGGCTGAGGGACAAGCCCCGACCTGTGTCCTGTGCCAAAGAGACACCTGGGCTGGGGGCGGTGGCTGAGCTGGCGTGTGAAGCTCTGGGTGGAAGGAAATGAGAAAGTGATGGTGGGTTTGCAAGAGCAAGCTCATCAGACATGAAAATGAAGAGGGGGTTCGAGCATGTCAGGGGCAGGAAGGCTGCAGGGGGGGGGGGCCTGTGCCCCAGCCTCAGGGCACAGAGGAGAAGCTGTCACCAGGCACCAGGATGGTGGGTACAGCAGTTCCTGCTGCAGAGGAAGCACCAGGGCCTGCTTTGCTGATAAGGAGCTGCTGTTCTGAGGTGTTTCCGCTGCCTTGAGGGCCCCCTTGAGCCCACAGGTGCAGCTGAGGTCGGAGCTGGACACGAGTATTTGCATTCTGCCTTTTTGGATCATCTGGTACTGGCACAGACTCACTGCTTTCCCCACTGCTCCTAGAACAGTTGGGGAAGGCTGGTGACGGGGCCAGGGGTGATGGGGACAGCAGGAAAACCCCCCACCCAGGCTGCAGTGGGTGGAAACCTGCAGCTGGCAGTTCACAATTTATTCACAAACCCTCAACTGTGAACAAGACATCCTTTAATTAACATAAGTGGTTATTGCTGCTTGTCCCAGTGCAATCCATGCGTTTAAAGGTTTAAAAATCAGCTACTTCAGGTGCAAGGGCTGATTGCTGCTGGTCCCAACAAGCAGAGGGGTGAGTTATGGGTGAGTGAGAGTATGAGGGGCTGTCGCTGCTGCTCTCAGGCCCTGCCCTGCACAGACACCCACCCTAATAAACTGTGCATCAGCTTGAGAGGTCTAATGGCTTTGGGCTGTTCCTCATCTGGACCAGGCTTGGGTTGCTGGGCCTTTGTATCCCACCTCTCTGCTGCTGTGGGAGTGCAGATGTGGGGCAGCCCATGGGGCTGGCAGGGCTCTGTCTATGTACAACCTCTGCCTTCTCCTCCTGTGGGCACTGGGTGATGCTTGGGGTACTCAAACATCACATCCCAAAGCACTAGGGGGAAGCTGGGCCCTCAGGCAGCCCAGCACTGGTTCCTGCCTGTCCCAGGTGTCCCAGCTGTCACAGAATCACAGAATGGCTGGAGTTGGAAGGGATCTCTGTCATCTAGTCCAGCTCTCCCACTGAAGTAGACTAACCTAGAGCACACTACCCAGGTCTGCATCCAGGCAGGTCTTCAATGTCTCCAGAGGAGAAGAATCCACAGCCTCCCTGGGCAGCCTGTCCCAGGGCTCTGTCACCCTCACCATAAAGAAGTTTTTCCTCATACTTCACTGGAATTTCCCATGTTCCAGCTTGTGCCCATTGCCCCTCATTCTGACACTGGGAACTACTGAGAAGAGCCTGTCTCCATCTTCCTTGCACTCACCCCTTAGATACTTATATACATTGATAAGGTCCCTCTCTGGGCTAATGGCCCATTGGCACTGGCTCCCACCCCATCAGTGAGCAATGGTGGCTGTAACCAGGTGAAAGCTGTAACCAGGTGAGTGCTGTAACTGGGCATCTACTGTGGGGCTGCAGCTGAAAGTGGCCCTGCCCTCAGCTGCTCTTTGCCCCCTTCCCCACAGGGCCCTGCTTGGGGGTGGCAGCCTCAGTCAGGAGGAGGTAGGAGCTGATGGCTTCTCGCAGGCCCAGGCTGATGGGAGAGTCCTCTGGTGGGGACGTGGTGGCCGAGAACAGCAGGGAACTGCACCAGGGAATATGGGGTGGTCAGGGGGCAGCCCTGGAGCCCTGTGGGTCTGGCAGTGGGGGGGGTGAGGGGAGCCCCAACCCCTTCCTGACCCCTCCTACCTGTCGATCTCATCCCAGTTGAGCGATGGCTTCTTCACCACAGCAGGCATGGCAGGGACTGGGGCCACCTTCACCCCTCCCGGGGCACAGGGCTCCCTGAGGGGGCAGCACAGCCCCTCTCTGAACTCTGGGCAAGGGGTTGGCAGCATTAGCAGCGTGTCCCCCCCCTCACCTGCACCCCAACCCCGAGGTACCCAGGGACCACCCACTGCCTTTCCCCCTCCTTCCCTGCAGAGCCCAGAGCATCCCCCACCCAGGCAGGGGGTGCCAGGGCCCGGCAGGTGTTACCAGAGTAGTGATCCACCAGGTCGTGCAGGTTGGGGAAGGTGAGCAGGGGGGAGATGTAGAGCCAGCCGTTCTCCAGGCGGTGGATGCGATAGTGAGACACCGAGTCCCAGGAGCAGCGCTGCCCGTGCCGCACCGACAGCGAGAAGCAGCCTGAGGGGGCGAGGGGCGTGTGGCCGGGGGCGGGGTACCCAGACCCCAGCCCTCAGCCCCCTGCCCCTCAGCC